CTGATTTTAAAAAAGTGGGAAAAAGTAAGGAAAGAAGCTGGGAAAATGCTTGTGCAGTGTCATCTTAGTCATCCTGTTCACGTGACTCTTAGCGGGGAGAGGAGAGTTGTGGCAGAAGAGGGGAAGCGGAAGGTGATTCTCATGGGGAGGATGGAATGACAGGCAGTCCAGCCCTTGAAAAATGCGACTATGTGATTTTTGTTGGGAGGGCTGACTGGCATAGAGTTGTAACGCAGTTGGATCCTGTTGGCTCACCTGGGAAGTTCCTTGTGTGAGGGGGAGGGAAGAGATTATGAGAAGAGCTTTTCCACGTACAGCTGTGCTGCAGAAAGCATAGCGTGTAGCAAGTTACCTGCATTTTTGCATAGCGCTTAAACTTACTAAGAGTTCAGTTCAGAGGTGAACTAGACCTTGTTTGGAAAATACTTAATTTCATCTTTCAACTTCAGGATTATTCTTCACAAATTCTTCTGACTCTGTCTGGTCTCATTTTAAATAGACTTCCAACACCTTCTCTGAGAGGTTAATCAAGGCTAGCTAATGCTTAGTGCAAGAGAGTCCTCCGTAATACTAAGCTCAAAGTTTTATCTCCTTCCTTTCATCCTGTGTATTGTGGTTGCATTTTGGTGTTCCACCCCCAGTACTGTCCAAGTGTATGTGTACTTGCATGCATGCTGGGAAGGCTAATAACCACCATACAAAGTTCAGGTTTCAGGGCTCTCTACCTTCCTCAGCATGTCTGCAGTTCTTGAGTTGCTCTGTAGGATGGCTCAGAGACACAATTCATTTATTTAAATTAGGAAGAAGAAAAGCCGTGTTTCATCTGCTGTGGCTGTGGCTCTCTTCTGAGCTGCAGCAGTGGTCACTTCAGAGCTGCTGGCAGGTTTCTGTAACTTGCTTCTGCAGCTGAATATGAGCATTTCTGTGGATGTACTGATTTTGCCTTTCTTTTTTTTGCACCACATTCTCACTTCCAGTGTTGAGTGTTTATATATTTATTTATTTATTTATTTATTTATTTATTTAACTGACGAGTGTCATATGGTTTTCCTTTATCATTGTAAGATGCTGAAAGCCAGGCTGACTTATGAGCCTGCCTTTCGTATTTAAAGTATGCCAGTGTTGTCAGGCCAAAATATGTTGTTATAGTCACAATGGGAAAATAACTTCTAAGCACAGCTTTGTTCCTGTTCTCCTTGTATCTTGGCGGGCTAAACAGTGAGGTCGAGCATTTTCAGTGTTAGATGTAAGATCTAATCAAGGCAAACTCTTCTAAAGGAGGATAAGGCAACATAAATACTTCCCCCCTTTCTCCCCTTAATTATAGTTAGGAAACTTTTTAAGTAAAAGAACCCTTGTTGAAGGGAGTGTTTAACTTTAAAAGAAAGGTTGTGGATGTGGATGTGACTTGGCATCTGCTGCAGTTCAACCCAAGTTGGGTGATAAATGTTTTCTTGAGGCAGAATGACATCCATGTTGCAAAGTAAAATAGAGATGAAGATTGTGTCTATCCTTTGTACTGCTCAGCTTTATCTTCCCGCTTATCTTGGGCTGTAGCTCTAGTAATCTCTTTCCTCTCCACCCTTGACTTGATGTAGTGAAACTTGCTTAACCTGCCAAAGGAACAAACCTGCCGGCTGTATTGTCGACAGGTTGCGACTCTTCTTGAGAACTCTGGAACCTGCTGCTTTGGTTTCAGATTCTTCTTTTTTCCTTAATGATTGCATGCAGAGAGCTATCACAGCGGCTGTGATATTTGACCTACAGACTAAAAGTCAAAGGTGCAGTCAGGGTGTCTTCCTGTTTATAGCTCAATAGCTCAGGCCGCTTCCTTTCAAATATGCAAAACTAAAACATGGAGGGATTACCGCATTCCTTGCTGTGGGTATGGATTCCACTCTGGCTTTTAGGGCATGGCAAAAGCACGTGCGTTGCAGGAGGAACTGCAAGCTGGGGGCAGCCCATGAGTTGACACCAGACATAGCAAAGCCCCTTCACTGTGGTGCTGCATCCACATCAGCAAACCCTGCCTTATTAGCATATATTATATTGCAAAGACGGCTGGCCTGCTTCTGGGACTTGCAGGAGCCAGTGTGTTTGCATGCATTAGGTCATGAGGAGGTGCCAGGTTGGACTGGCACTAACCTGGAGGTCTCAGCAGTTTCTCCTGTTGATACGCTGCGGATGTGCTATTGCACCCCTCTCCAGGAGGAGCACTCCATCCGAAGAGAGTTCAACAGGTAGACAGCAGTAGGAGGAAAGAACTTAGCCCTAAGGAAGCTGTTTTGCATAGGTAGCTACTAAACAGGAGTTCTGCATACTGGTTATTGGCAGAAAAGAGACTTTAAAAGAAAATAGGAACAAAAAGTCCCACGCTTAATACATAGCAGGTTTTTTTGTTGTTTGTTTTCTGGGTGAATGTGATGTAGCTTGACTGCTTTTGCTCTCTAGCTATGTGAAAAGTAACTAGCCAAGTAATACTAGCTGTGCATCAGCCAAGATGCCAGAAGGTTAAGCATGCAGGCCATGTGTGTGTGTCTGGGGTGGGGGGACAGAAAGGCACATGCAAAACATTGCTGTCTAACTTTCAAAAGCTCATTGAAAGTGGAAAGCAGTCGTTACCAGAAAGAAAAACAGAAAAAAAGAGCAACAAACCACCTTCCAGGTTTTGCTTTGCCTGTGCAATTGAACACTGCAGTTTTTTGTTCCCAGATGTGTTTGTGTTTTATCTTCAACCATTGCAGACAGAAACCCTTGGAACAAGTAACTGGCTTCTTCACCCTTATTCTTGCGTGAATACAGACAACTGCTCCTCATGCTGTTGATTTATGACCCGTAGGAAGCTCTAGCTAGCACGAGAAGTTAGATTAGTGCCATGGGTGTGACTAGGGAGAGACTAGAGAAAATGAGGCAGTACAGTACCTGTAGATGCCTTCCCTGCAGATTTTGTGAGATCAGGTAGCACTGGATTCATGCAGATAAATCAGTTAGCATTGGTGTCTGTGATGGCAGGGCTACCAGAGGGCCAAGGCAGGGGAGTACGCTGCTCTCTGGAGGCTGTGTCAGTGCTCCAGCTTCTCCCTGGGTCCTGTCAAACCTGGAAACCCTCAGAACTTCAACCTTCCTTCTGCTCCCAGTTGCGTGATCGGCAGGGGAAGAGGGCACCGAAATTAAACA